CCTTAACCACCTCCAGTCATTTCTCCATTTGCTTTCGGTTCATCAACGTAACCCTTGAGACTCTCAGATATTACCACTGAGGTTTATGGTTACACAACTTCTATGTTCATGATCTTAATTTCGTTCTACCACGAGCTGAGTGAAACCCAAAATCCAACACAACTAATGAATTGACGGTGAACAATCAAACGTTCTAGCTCTCACCCATGATTTAACGAAACCACTCTTGTGGACTGTCACCTAAAATCTCTTTTTTCTTTTTGAATGATCTTTATGAAATTGTCTAACCACCAAGACGTTTTCTTCCCATAAGATTCAGTTTTATTTTTCTTGAGATTTCTAAAATACATCAAGTCACTGGATATATTAACAAACCTACTTGTTCAACAGGCCACATCGGTCTCACAAGTACTTTATCCGACTTTCGGTCTTATTTCAAGTCCTGAAGTTCGGTTGAAATTAAACCACCCTTTAAAGCCTTATTTTGAAAAGAAGTCTTTCAATGTTTCTTTACAAACATTTGAACGTATTTTATCAGGAAACCAAACAAACACTTCTAAGTCTCTCTTGACTTTGAAGGAAGAGATTCGTGCCCCGGAATCTTCAGTTTCGTGTCTCTATTGACATCACTTATTTTCCCATAAATATTTTTGCTTTATTCCTTTTTATTGGCACACTCTTGCACGAGAATCCATGTGATTTTCACAAGGCTAGTTCGAGTTACTAATGGCTATTTTCAGAGTTATAAGTTCGGTTTCATATGCTATAATGGTGCATCTTCTTTGAAGAATTGGAAGAGTCTTTGAAGTTGAAGAGGCGGTAACTGGATAAGAATTGGTTTGGGCGCGTGAATTTGAAACGGTTTATATCATCACGCCTGATGACGTCTTCATAGGGAAACACAGCTGTCAAATCACGCTTTTTCAGGTGTCGTTTCCGAAAATCAAGGAATGATTACTCAAGCGCTTCCCTCTCTTGGTAATCGTATAAGAGGTCCAGAGTTTTCTCTCTCACCTTTTTACCTTTTTACTACTCCTCTCTCAAGAACACATCGGCGTTTATACCGTTCATCTTCTTACTCAAACCTGCAATAATGGCGGAATCTTCTTCAATTTATGAACAAACTGCCTCATCCACTTTGCTGGTCATCAAGCCTAACCAGAATCTGCTTATCGATTTGAATCCATTCCTCTATGATTCTTATATGCTACAAGTGGTTGAATGTCTAAAATATTCACCACTTGTAACTACTCTCACCAAGGTGGAATCTGTGCCGATGTCTTTGCTTTCCCAAGTCTATACCTCTGTCGTTTATGACAAACGCAAGGATATGATCTTTTTCGAAATCTTCAATCATAAAACCTCAGTCTCCAACTCAGCTGTTCACAATGCTCTACGATATGGGGTATACTGACGTTCTTACCACAATAACGAAATTCAAGAAATCCTGCCTTCCACCACAATGGAACGGAATTTTAACCCTTCTCGTTAAGGGTTTATCAGAAAGGGTTGCTGGTTCAGACGGGTCCAACAAAGGGTTTATGACAATTCTCTATGGTCTTTACCATGGTCTAAACCTCGACTATGGAACGCTAATTTGGGCTCAAGTGGTACAGAGTCTCAATTCATCTGCAAACAACTCAGAGATTTCTTGTGGTCGGTTCTGGACCCTTATCACTCACAGGGCGATTGAGGCATTTCAGGTTCCAGTTATGGCGGATGCCCTGCGCTCATCAATTGCGGCCTTTCTCACAAAGAATATTATTGTCACTGATTCAACCAAATTCTTGTTCATTGGGTCCATTCCTGAATCAATGTACCAAAGTGTTGCCACAATTAGCAATGTCATGGCTGAATACAGAAAACTTACGCCTATGGGGCCGAGGCAATTGACTCCCGGAGATGCAACTTGCTCTAGATGCGGTTGAAAAACCAACAAAAAGGGGGAAGAAACCAGATTCCAAGAAGAAAGAAACAGAGGGTCCTTCATCACAAGCTGACACGCACAAAAAGCGTAAAGCTGACAAAGCAGCTCCTTCCTCTCCAAAGAAGAAAAGGGTTAAGAATATGGCAAAGAAACCGAAGGCATCCTCGCCTGATGACTCAGATTATGTTCCTTCAGATGATGATCAAGAGAAGACAGATGAAGGTGAAGATGTTCACAATGAAGACTCACCGAGGGGAAACACACCTCCACGTTCTCCAACTCCAGAGGTAACACTTAATGACTCGGTTCCAACCCCTCCTCTTTCTCCAAATCATACTTCTTTTCCTATTACCATTGCACCACTTCCACCGCCTGTTTCTTCTGTTCCTACTTCCACTATACTTCTACCACACCCATCTTTTCTCAAGCAACTTCAACCACAAAAACCCCAACCGAACCTCTGGTTCGTGTCAACGTATCTGATACGGGGGCACTTACCTCAGGAACCGAAACCCCGGTTACAAACCCACCTCCATCAGCATCTCCCTAAAACGAGTCTGAACCTGTTCTTGGTGGCGCTGATATGGACTTTGAGTCATTCTACTATAGTCCTTTTCAAGTTCAATCCGATGATGATGATGATGTTCCTCTTACCAAACGCCACTTGAAGGATCTCAATGCCAAGCTTGATCAGCTACTGGGATCTTCTGCTGCTTCTTCCACTTCAGCATACTCTGATGCTGCTGTGAAGGCTTTGGTTGAGACTTTGATCAAACGACATGATCAGTCAATTGATAAAGCTACTCAAGCTATCAAGGATGCCACTCTCTCTTCCAACAACACTATTGTTGAGGTTAAAACTCTTATTTCTGATTCAAAGTCTTTTATGGAATCTCATCAATCACTGCAGAAGCCAATACTATTAAAGCAAATGAAGCCATTGCTTCTCTGTCAAAATCTCTTAAGGCTGAAAGAGAAAAATTTGAAGCGGTTCGTCAAGGTCTTCAAGTTGATGGTGTCACTCTTCTTTCTTCTGTTGATACGCGTTTTGCTAAACTTCAAGCAGACCTTTCCTAGATAACCAAGTGAGGGAAGATCTTGCACTTTCCCAATCCAAAATTGCCAATCTCACTTTGGGACTTAGTCAAGCACAACAGGAGATTGAATCCCTCAAGACCGAACGCACAGTGATCAAAAGCTGTGTGAGTGATGTGCATCTACTTCTTTCCAATATTTTGGATGCTCACGATTCGGTTCTTACAATCACTATCCGACAGCACTTAAAGAAAAAACTTCTTCCTGCTTTGGAAATGTTAAGCCGGATAGAGGGTGTTACGGAGCCGATTGCTACTCCGCAACAAGGGGGAGAAGATCAACATCCTCCCAAACAACCGAATCAGGCAAAAGTCACCACTAAACCGAAGGGTAATGAAGCTTCGGGTTCTAGTGTGTTGGACAAAAAGAAGGGCATTATGGGTGACAGTGATGATGAAGAAGAAACTGAGGAAGAAGCTGTGAAAAGAAAGAAACGTGATAAAGAACTGGATGAAACTCTGAAAGTTTCTAGAGAAGAAGAAGAGAGAGAGAAAAGGGAAAAAGAGGCACATGATACGCTGGAGTGCAAGAAAGCTCTATTCCCTTTATGGACCGAGGAGAAGTTGATAAAAGAAGCAATTGAGTTTCCAAGCACTCATTGGCTGGAACCGGTTACTTCGTTTGATTGTGAAAACACCAAGGACTCACAGTTTGATATGCCTATAACCCGAAAGGCCTTTGTGTTTCACAGCTTTGATGCTACTGTCAATATTCCTTCTCCAGACCCGAAGGTTGATCGGGATCTTATTGCTTTTTATCTCAAATACTCTCAACCCCAGTACTTGACGTGGAGTGCTCAGAAAATTACATCCGTCAAGGTACTGAAGCCTACTTCGGCTGGGCCTTTTATCAATGTTGGTTTCAGGGTGACCCGAGGGTCAGATGATTCGGTTCATATGTTTACATTGGCTGATCTACCGAACCTGAATCCCCATGATTGGATTCTTCTAAACAACATCCTGCTCTCCAATCCACAGCAGTACGAGCCAATTATTGATCATATCAAGGGAATGCTAGCTTCCTACATTCATGAGGTTGCTAAGATGGATCGGGAGATTTCTCTTGTCATGAGGAAAAAGCCTACAGTCAAACCCATTGGAACTTCATGCGATGCAACCAAGATGAATATGGGCAAGATTGATTCAAAGTATCGTGCTGTTATGTTCACCAGACAAGACAATCAGAAGTTAATGTTATGTCTTGATGATAAACACCTGTTTTCCACGGCTTGCTTGGAGCATATTTTGGATATTATCCACAGGTGCAAACAGAACGGAGCAGCAGATAAGAAGAACTTCACGGATATGCTTCGGTGGTACATAGATTTTCGTCACACTCTTACTTGCCATCATACCGAAGATTCTTCAAGACTGTGAAGAAAGTTTCCGTTGCTCAACCCGTTTGAAGTCTCGCCCCAATTGACGCAAAGGGGGAGATTGTTGAGCCTTTTTTTTTGTTGCGTCTTGGGCTCGGTTGTTAGTCTAGTTTTGTCACCGGTTTGGGCCTGTCCAGCCGTGTGTATGTTTTAGGGTTTAGTATATAAGTTGCATGCATGCAATCTTATCATTAACGCTTTCATTATTATTTTATCAAGTGTATTGTAAACCCTAGCTCACCTCTACAGCGGAAGTTCTTGATTGAGCTCTGCTGAGGTGTGACTACGTTTTAATCATTCAACATACGGATTGATTCATTGTGTGTTCCAGTATTTATTGTTCTTGCTTATTTACCTGTTAAAGATCTATCTATCAAAAGAGTTGTTAAGTCATCACTGATAATGAAATTTGGTGTTTGTTGCGGGAGGTGGATGATTGCAGCGGAAGGTTGCCGGTGGTGGCTGAAGTAGATGTGTTTGGCTGGAGAATATTGCCTCTATATTTAATGGTAAATTATGTAAACAAAATTTAACAATAAATCATATGAAAAATACATTAACGAGTTATGGGTAATACTAAATCGTAATTAGAGTTTAAGAACAATTCATATTAGTTTGAAATGACGTGGACGGACCTCGCCTCCCAAAATCTTCTCTTTCCTTAAACCCTAGCAATCAAATTAATACTTCACTTCACCACAACAAAAACCCACAAATGATCTGCCCCAAAACCCTCCGTTTGCATCAAATTCGCACACTCTTAAACCCTAATTTACACAGTGAAACCCACTTGATTCCTTTCATCAATACCAAATCATCGTCACCCAGTTCTATTTTTAGCCGGAGCGTATCGCTTTCTTCTCAATTCCAACACAAATTCGCTACGCAAGAAGCGAATGGGAAGTCAAAGAAACCGTTGGAAATCCTTTTCGCAGAAGAAGTTGGGTTATCTAAAGCAGACATTGAAAACAGTGAAGATGAAAAGGGAAAGCTCAAGAAAAGTTTGAGAAAATTGGAGGTGGAATTGGGAAGATATAAAAAAGATTCAACGAAAGAAACAAAGTCTTTATCAAGTATATTTTCGAAGCCACTAGACACCCTTTTCACAGAAGCAGTCGGATTATCAAAAACGGGTGAAGAAGGCCACATTGATGATCAAGAATCAAAAAAGGGTGTGCAGATATTGTCGAGTTTGTTTATGAGTACTGATCAAAGAGGGAAATCAAAAACAGAGACAAAGAAAGTAGAGGAATCAATGGAATTGAAGAAGCTATCGCCAGATATGGCTATGTTCGCTAATTTTTTGCATTCAAAAGGGTACTTGTCGAATGCAAATTTTCTCCTAAACAACAAATTCGATGTTTCTTGTTTTGAGAACAATTATGGCCGAGATTTCTTGAAGTTTGCAGCTGAAAAGTTTGCCAAAGATCATCGAGACATCTACAGGTAAGTGCAAGTTCTTCTCTTTTCTTTCTTTAGTAGTTCATGAAGCAATTTCCATGGTCTTTGAAGCTTGATCAATCAGAAAAGCTTAATTAAGAAACATTAGGATTGAAAAGTTAATACTTTTTTTCTAAATTTTGATGATTTAGGTGGTTGTCAAATGGTGATTTGAAAAAGGTTGCTCAATTCGGATGCCCTTCCCTTGGTAGAAAGAATGTTTTTTCCTCCAAAGCCATGCGCCATTCTTTTGGGATTCAAGAAGAAGAAACCGTTAGTGATTGCTTTCATTAGGTTTTCTTATAAATTACAATTTGGGGTAAATGCAAGAAATAGCAAAACATACTTATGTTGATTTGTTTATTTTAACAACCTACTTTCATTTCTTCATATTACAACATTTACTTTTTAAAAATCAACCTAATAGTTATAGCAATGTTGTCCAAATACAAAGCAAGGGAAAAAGTCTAACCGTTATAATTGTACTAATTCCAATGTGGATTGGGATGTGTACCTGTTTTACATCTCACATGATGCAATTTAGACAGTTAGGCGCGTTAGTAAAAAAAATTGAAAATTCAATGTTGTAATAGAAATAAATGAAAGTAGAATGGTGTAATACAACAGTAATGAAAGTACATTGCTATTTCTTGCATTTAGCCCTTAAAATAGTAAGAACACTAAAGACAAAAAAAAAGATTTTTCCTAGTTTAAATTTATTTGCCTTTTAGGTATGTAGCAAATGCGCGTTAAAAGATTCGTGCAAATTTGTTAACCAAAGCGTATGGAAAAAGGGAGCGAAAAATGTTGACTTGACTGTGGTGATGAGGGTTATTACTTTGTATGCTCTTGAAGCCGTACCTAATGAATTAGAAGTGCCTGATGATATCAAGAATACAGTTAATCGGTTGTTGAAAGAAGTCATTCGTTTATGTGAAATTGAATCTTGAATTTATTTTGTAACAGGTATTGATTTATAGGAGCATCAAATGTTTTGTGTGTTACTTTGATAGTGAAATTAATTTCGATGGGAAATTTTCGTTTAAGTTGCCGACTGTGTTAGAGTGTTAGAGCTGACTGAGTTAGAAGCTGATTGGGTTAGAAATTCCGATTGAATCTACATCCGACTAAAACCATATTGTTTTATTATGTATCGACTGGTTGTGCTGAATGATCAAAATAACCATTTTATCCTTATGTTATGTTTACAACACAACATGAATCTATTTAATTATAGCAATGTCATTTAATACAAAAGCAATTCTCACAATTACACTTAAGTAGACTTTTCTCAAAGCAATTCTCACAATTACAAATATTCATCAAATCACATAAAATCATTATCACAAATTTATTGATTTACAAACTTATTGAATTTCTACATATGCATAAACTAATCAAGTGTTTTTCTTTGTTCTAAAACTATGAGTAACAACCCAATTGACAGCTTTATATTTGGCGTTCTTCAAGATTCCAAGAGGGTGATGATCTCTTCTATGAAGTACCAACATACATGCATAATTCTACTTCCTCCTTAAACCAATCACCACTAGCTAATGCCTTAAACTGCTCTCTATCATTCCCATTGTCTAGAACACCTGGAAGGACAATTTTTGTTGATAACTTTAGTTTCATGGCTCCCTAAAAGAGGGCAACAAGCTTTTTTTTTCTTTTCAGTAAGCTACATATTTGGAACGGACCGAGTAAGCTCTTTGGGTCAGCATGGCTGACCAAGTCAGCAAAATTTTGGATTTACCAAACAGCCCGACTGCTCACCGAGTCAGCAGTCTGTTCCTATTGGACACGGTAAGTTCAAATCAAACAGCAAAAAACTCACGAGTTTTTCAATAAGTTATGTCAATTTTCAAAATGTTTGTTTATAGGCTATGTTAGTAGTTTTGATAAACATTACTAAGAAATAAACTATAGCTTATATACACAAATACAACCTAAACATACCTCAAAACGATTGACCAAAGAAAACTATTTTGTTTATTGTTTGAATATATCATGCAAAGATAATCCACTAAATTGCATTACATAGAAATATTATGAAAATTAATGATAACTTTTGGTTTTAGAAATTCTATACATTATAAAGTCTATAATTTGTAGCATGGTGAAGAATAAAATATTATTATTATAGTAATGAGTGCATACAATCTTTATAATTGTTGTAAGCGGCCTTTTATAATAAAGAAGTGTAAGCCCACTGGTCCAATAAGATATGAAATTGATTGGATAAGGTAATTTATTTTTTATTTTGTATGCTGAGTTTTTTTTGTCTATATTTGTCCATTTAACTTGTTTTTTTATACATTAAACCAAGAAAATGACTTAATAGGGTAATTTAATTTTCAGTTTGTACACATTTAATCATTAATATTTTTGTATATATTTAATCATTAATGTTTTTGTACACATTTAGTTCTTATGACCGATTTCTTCAGGTTTTACTTACAACATCATATGTGAGACAATCACTAATGAGGTGTTCTCACACGTGGTTTGTCTCTCTCTTATATTAGTATTGTAATTCATGAATCGGTCAAATAATGTTGGTGTCCTAGTTTTCTCCAAGCAGAAGATGTCTTCAACTTCGGTTTATATATCTTCATAGCAGACAACGAGATTCTTTGTGATTGCTTCATCCAAACTCAAAGTTGCACTTCTAAGCCAAAAGAATACTCTAGCAAAAAGTTTAGATTCTTCCCTAACTCATACGTGAACCACATATGATATAAGGAAGACTCTAAACTTTTTGTATAGGTGTTATATTGTCTTGGAAGTGCAAATTTGAGTTTGGAGGAAGCAATCACAAAGAATCTTGTTATCTGCTATGAAGATAGATGAAACCGAAGCCGAAGACATCTTTTGTTTGGATAAAGCTAGGGCACTAATATTTTTTGACTGATTCGTGAATTACGTTACTGATATAAGCGAGGGACGATCCACGTATAAGAACACATCATTAGTGATTATTCAACGTATGATGTTGTAAGCAAAACCTGAATAAATCTATCATAAGGACTAAATGTGTACAAACATTAAAGATTAAATGTATAAAAATTGGATATTATATTACCTTATTAAGTTATTTGTCCGACTCAACTTGGAGTAGTCGGTTATACGTACTGAATGCGTACCAAAAAACCAAGTTAAATAGTTGAATGTGTACAAAAAAAAATCAATGACTACGTGTGCAAAAAATAAAAAATATATTATTCAATTCGGTCATTTTTTCCTTTTCAGAACTTGGTTTACTTCTCTTAAAATTTTAGCTTAGTGTTAAAAAATTATGAATTTGGTCTATAGTTTTTTTTAACTTAACTTTTTTGTTTTTTTACGAATTTATTTTTATAAATTTTTTTATATATTTAATTTTTTATAAACTTTTGACATCTTTGTTTTAATTTTATGGGGGAAATGACGCCAATGTCTTACAAAGTTTCTAGGGTTGGTCGATTCAGTCCCTAAAGTTTTTTGTCGGGCTTTATAGGGGTATAAACTAGGATACGACCTGCTCTTTAGTCCATTTCAACCTGTAATAGCATAATAGGTTCACCATGAGACATTGACCATTTAGACCAAAAAACTCATATTGTGCCCCTATAAAGCAAAAAATAAGTTCGGAGATCAAATGCTTATGCCACAAGATCGTTTTCACAACACAGAAGCACAAATTTCAAATTGGAAATGGAAACCTAAAAAGTTCATAATTCACATCGAATAAAGAAACTAACTGCTGAATTTCACTTAATTAGATGAAGAAACATGCTTGATGATGTCAGGATCTTTCAAAATTCTTGTTCCAAATAGCTCATTCTATTTCTGAAACCGACGGTTTCTTCTTATTTTCTTGTTTTCCGGCTAGGATTGATGGCGGAGGTAGTGGTGTCACATGGTTGATCCGGTGAACTTGTGTTTTAGCATCTGGATTGTTATCGTTTATTCTATTATCAGTTTGTTCTACTCCCAAATCACTTTGTCTATCTCCGATTCCAAATTCCGATTCTCATATTCTACTATTTTTTTATCACTTTTCTGATTCTGTTGATTCCCGATTTTTATGAGTTCGAGTTGGAGTTCGAAGCCATCAGTTAAGTAGGTATTTGACTATTTTGTATTTGAAATGTGTATCTTTGATTTGATATTTGTTTGTTTGATTACAGTAGTTTGGTTCAAAAGGTTTTTTTTCCTAGTTTGCTTGAGGAGTAGCTGAGTAGGAGTTAGAATTAACGATCTTTGATTTCTAATTTATTATATCGTCGACTATGGATTTTGATGTTGATGTTTGATCACAGTTTTTTCATTTTTAGTAGTTTCAAGTTAATTTATGTTTTGTCTGCTAATATTCATGATAATTGTCCCGGTAAATCTATCTTGTTTAGGTATAATCATAATAACTTCAAATTAGTTTAGGTTTTTTCTACAAATTTCATGTCTTCTAAAAGAATCTTTGTCACCCTCCTTTTTGAACATATCCGCTTTTAATTAAGCTAATGTTTTCCAAAAAACATTGCTTGTCAATAAATCTATCAAAATGTGGAAAATTAATGTTGTCATTTTAGAAAATAACCTTATATTTTAGGGGGTGTTTGGATAGGGAAAAAAGAGGGTGCTTATTGTTTATTGCTTATTCCCACCATAATAAGCTAAGTTTAAGTATTTTGATAGGAATCCTTAAAAATCAGCTTATTGTGGTAGGGATAAGCTAAATAAGCTGATTTTAATAAGCATCTCCCCCTTGCTTATTGCTTATTGCTTATTCCCACCGCAAATAAGCTAATAAACTATAATCTAATTTACCAAACACCCACTTAATACAACTATACATTTAGCTGTTGGATATGGATGAAAATAAGATTATTTACCATTTCGTTTGTTGATGACTTGATGTTGTTGTGTTGTGCGTCCTTCTTTCATTCTTAAACTTTTGATGTTTATTTGATGTGAATCGACTGCATGTTAGCTTGTTTTTTACTCATATTGTTCTTTTGAAAACGCAGCAGCTTGCCAAGGAAGATGCTCACGGGATGACATAAGAGCCCTTCATCATCTATAGTTACTAGTTTTAAAAACCTTTTTTTAGAAACTTTTGTTCTCAGATAACTATTGATTTTAAATTCATAAAGGCAAAATATATGTTCTTGATAATGGCACAATTGATTTAATCTGTTTTTGTTACCATCATATGTTAAAGAGGTAGATGGTGTTCATTTTAAGTAATTAATCATATTGTGGATTAAATATAGTTACCTGGAAGGGTAAAATCATCATGATATATACATATATTTTTTTCATAGTTCTTTATACAGATGACAATTTACTCGCATTCAGTTTTTGAGAGTTCAGATCCTAAAAAGTGTTGATGCATATTGGATATTGTAGTTTTTTGTTTATAAATATCTTGCACTTTGTTTATTCTATTTATGTATGTATTGGGTACTTGGGTCTATCATATGGAACAAATATAGGGGCAGTGATTATAATATAGCCCTGGGTATGAAAAACTAACGACCGGCCCTGTTTACAGGTACAACGTTTCAGGGAAGAAACTCCTAATCTGAATACACTCTACATGAGTTTCATATATTTAACCCATTCAAACATTTTTTTTTCAATCTCTTAACCCATGTAAAGGCTTTTATATATTTTTGATTTAATTTGTCTCCAATGATATGTGGCCATGGTTAAATATATTTTTTATTTGATTCGTCACAAATAATATGTGGTCACAGTCGAAGATATCATCTTGTTATTGATGATCATAATCTTTCTCCTGCAGCGCGTCATACGTTGCCGAATAAGTTGCTTCCGATTAAAGTTAAATTTCATTGGAGGTTTCTTTCAAATCGTCTTCCTTCTAAAGACAACTTTCTTTCTTGTGGATTGATGTTCATTCTTCTCTCTTTTCTATTTATGGGTTTCAAGTGGAAAATATTAAATC